TTTTTGGGTATTTGATTTTTTCCATTTTTTGTTTTCAATTTGGATTGTTTTGCTGATTTTTCAAATATGTAATTTATATCTTTGACAGCAAGATTGACACCTTCATTAGTGTGAGCATAGGTGTTATTTAGAAATTATCTACCAGCGCTTGTATTTTTTGGCTGCTAAGTGCTTTCTGATATTCTTCAGCGCTGTTTTCTCTCTCTCTCTCGCTCTCTCTCTCTCACACGCACGCACGATGCGCAAAACTCCGCATTTTAACAGTCAATAGCAAATACTTAAACTAATAACAAAACTGTAGCTGATTCAGAAGCGCCAGATTGTCATAGCAAAGTCAGAATTACCTTCTCTCCTAGGTTCACGAAACGGTCGTCCATAAAATGCATTTCTGTTCTGTTGTAAGTAATTTTAAAGATTCCTAAATGCATCTACTTCTGGTAGGCCAAATAAAGTGCTTTTGCTTTCGTTTAGAAACACACAGCGTCTCCCTGACATGGTTGCTTCAACACTAACTGCGGTTACTGACACCATGCCTTCTTTCTTTGCGTGCACATTTGGGCCGCGTTATGCTAATATTTCCACATAGTGAGGTAGATATGTGGGGGCGTGTTAGAACGAGCCGTTTTAGGGGGGCGTGGCAGAGTCTTAACTTTGATAAAGAATATCTCTTTGGTTTTGAGACTTTAGTCTTTGCAACTTCAGGGATCTTATCTATGCACAATCAGCTTGTAACACTCCAAAGAGAAAGGAAAACTTGAAATCGCATCATATGACCCCTTTAAACAGTAGTGTATTTTGAAATATTAAGAAAAAATTTTTTTCTTTAAGTAATATGCATGAATGAATTGGGCATGGATGGGGTATTTATTCAGAAAATAAATTAATGTCTTAAAAAATAAAAAAATAATTTTCACATGGCATGGACTGAAATAAATCTGGAGATCTGTCACTCTGTATTATGAATAAGTATGTAGAAACTGAACATTGAGCTGATTTAATTTCAGTGTTTAACTCTAAACATAAATCTGTTTTACTGCATCTCTGATTTGCAGCAGAGCGAATGGAGTTGCATAAATACTTTACCTCTCTCTTCATGATCGCTCTCGCTGAGGATGCTGGGAAAGCAGACAGCCCTGCAGAATCCTGTTTAAGCATTGTAGAGTTAGATGAGGTAATTCTGAACCCCACCACCCTAGTTTCTCTAATGGACTGCTGGGCGGTAGCCAGAGAATGACTCCTCAATGATGTTTCTTTACACTTATCATTCTGTCTTCTTCTGACAACCACTGTTTTTATCACTTTAATTTCTCCAGAAGATGGCTGGAGACGCTACACTGTACAGATCCTTTGGAGTCAAGCAGGGAAATGAGAGCAAAATGTAAGAACGACAAGATCAAGGCGAAAACCGAGACTTTTTGAAAGGAAGCGACAGAAAAGTTCACAGTCTTGAAACAACAATATAATTGAAGTAGCTGTGTTTTTCTCAACTCAGAACGGACACAAATACAGTGTCATCTCGACATTTACATTTATATCAGCCACAACTAGACTTAAAATAAGGCTGTTAACTGTGGGTGTAAGTTGTTAGATGTTATATATGCATGTCTGTTTTCTTCCTTAAGGTTTGCAGCTGTTGGAAATGGAGGAGATTTTGGATATTCGGTTTTGCCTTTCACACCGTGCTTCTCCGAGATGACCAAAGGATCAGTTGGTGAATGTAATTCTGACATAAAGATCAACTCTTCTCCTGAGATGTGGCCACCGTCTCAAGAGGCTGAACAATCTTCGTCATCATTGCCAAGATCAGAAAGCTTTTCTCCACTTCAGACGAGGCTTCAGAGATCACAGCACCTGTCGACTGCCTCAGAATCCTTTCTGTCAAATTCACGAATAGGAGGCCAGAAAGTGGAACTCAGTGACTCTCCAAAACCAAGCCCACGGACAAGATCTTCTGCAGCACAACAGGACAAATCCTCAGAGCTTCTGCCGACATCATCTCCTTCACTCCCAAAAACCAAATTAAATCAAACTCTCCCAGGCTTTGAGGACCATATTTCCACTGGCAGCCTCTCTCCTGGTGGAATACCATCTGTTCGGTCTTCTCGATGTCATTCTCCTGCTTTTCTCATCTCTAAACAAAGTCCTAAACCTCCAGATTCTCCGTCCCCAAGGTCTAGATCAGTGTCTTCTCCAGTAAACCCAGTCCAATCCAGACCTGCTCATTCAACACCTGTTTCTGAACCGAAATTAGCTCAGCTGTCTCCAGAACGTGCCATCACTTCCCCAAGCGCTGCAGTTCCTTCATTAAAGCTGTCACTTAGAGAATCATCACAGTCTGGATTAGTCTCAGATAGAAGTATATCTACTATGCCTATCTATGACTCCTTCAGTTCCTCTATGCCGAGGGTCGAATCTTCTCATAGTGAGGGTCATCGTTCACCTCCGGCCTCTAAATGGTTAAAAGGCTCACGGAGGTCACCCAAAACCACAATGTTCTCCTTACAGCTAAACATGTCAGGTTAGTATGATTTCTGTTGGTAAATTTGAATTGAAGCTGTCTGAACATTGAAAATGTTAGTTCGCTGTATCTAATTGCAATTTTGTTTGTCTTCCATGATGTGCTTGAGCCACTGTGTTTATAATGATCCTTCGAAAGTGTTTGTGAGTGATGAAGACTGTTTCCTATGTAATTAATAGCAGTTTAAATATTTTTAAAACCAATATACCACTCAAAGCTGTGCATTACAGTGTTTTTACCATGTTTGAGCGGTATTTTTCAGCTAAATGTAAAGCCTTTAACATTTAATCAAGGGGAAAACACTGTAACACTGGTTTATTGATTTTATAAAATGGTGGCAACATCAATATGGTAAAAGACACCAATGTACAAAAAATAAATAATTAATTTTGAGAATAATTTAAAATGTAATAGCTAGATAATAAAAAATTCATCTAGACAAACTTTTTTTTTGTCTATACAAAATATTTATATTATAATAATATTTGCTAGAATATATATATATATATATACAGTATATATATATACCGGTATATATATGATAAGTAAAGTAGCAGTGTAATATATATGATAAGTATGACATGAATTATAAATTTGAGCTTAAATATTTGTATTATTTGAGAATAAAGAGGACAAGGAGTGACAACAGAGACATGAAACAAGTGCAGTGCTATGAAGGATATAAGATGTGTAGGACAATTATACAGTTTATCATCTTTGTACAAAAATATTTGACAGTCGAATGCATGATTGACTAATCCAAATCAAGTATTCCAAAGAGCTGTTTAATAAACATTAAAAAACACCTCCTAAATGACAAAAACATGATTTCCACCATCCCTTGGGGTCCAGCACATCTACATCAGAGAGTAAAGATGATGAGAAAACACCAGTGTAGACATCAGCCTTCATTCACACAGCGGTTGCTTCTGCAGTATTTGCTGACTAGCAGAGTGATGGAAACTTCAAGCTGTGTAGGATCAGCATTATTAATGCAGGAGGAAGCAGACAGGAAGCAGGGAAGAGAAACACACAAGCTCTGCTAGACCATGTCCAGGCGGCTCGCTGCGAGCGTTAGATAAGGGCGCGCGTTTGCATCCTCACTGCCGGCCGTCTCCTCTCTGCCTCGATGTTTTCTCTCCTCCTGTCCTCAGTGTTTCTCCTCTCTCACTATTTGTCACTGCTCAGATTCAGAAGAGGAAATGACAGGTGAAGATGCTTGCCTGGTGCCCAGTGAAGAAGACTCATCTGATGAAGAACTGAGACGAATCACAGATGCAGAAGAACAAAAGAATGGCTTTCCCTCTTCGCGCCCCACCACGACCCCTCCGGCAGAGCCTCATTTCACTTTCACAAACCTCTCAAAGTCAGAAAACGACAACACAGAACCAGACCTTTTTACAGGATCTTCTCAGGTGATCAGAGATCTTTAGAATCTTCAACCTCAGTTACTTGTATCAGGTTACCCATAACCCACTATTAGACCAGTTAATACACAACAAGTTTGTTTTTTAAATATTTTTTAAAATAAGTCTCTTATACTCACCAAGTCCGCCTTAATTTAATCAAAAATACAGTAAAAAGTGTGAAATAGTATTATATAAATGCTGATTTGCTTGTCAAAAATATTCCTTATTATTATCAATGTTGAAATACCTCTATTTTTTTTTTGTGGAAACCATGATACATTCTTTTTCAGGATTATTTGATGAATAGAAAGTTCAAAAGAGCCACATTTATTTGAAATATAAATATTTTTTAACATTATAAATGTCTTTACAGTCGCCTTTGATCCATTTAATGCATCCTTGCTGAGTAAAAGTATTAATTTTTTTTTTTTTTTTAATCTTTGTTCACAAACTTTTGTTAGTCTATAGATTTTATGAAGATGGAAATGCAGCCACTGATATAGTGAAAAACATGGGCTTTCACAGACTCTCTGCTGGAAATATTATATAAAAAACAGAGTATGAGAACAATGAAATTAATTCTTTAGTTCATACTGAATGGCCTTGCTGGAAACTCTCATATACTAAATACTTGATCAATTAGATATTACTCCTATGTGATTTAATTGCAGATTTCATGCTGTGTTAGAGGTAATAGCAGGAAAAGGCAAAGACTACTCAGCTGATGAGGGGAAAGAGGAAACAGCTGTCAAGTCGGCCGCAAATGGACTATCAGAGTTTAATGGCGTAACAGAAAGAGAGAAAAGAAAATGAATTATATTAAACACCTGAAATTAAATGTCTGATCAGAAAGCGGCCTTATCTCTGCTCTTTTGTCTGGCGATCAGAAAATTTGTGTCCTTAATTACCACCCGCTGATTCTTTTCTCCTACCTCATTTTCCATTTAAAGGACACCGACTGGGACTCAATCAAATCATAATTGTTTCTCATTTCATTTCAGTTTAAAAATATGATTTTTTTTTCTTTTAAAGGGGTCATATGATGCGATTTCAATTTTTCCTTTCTCTTTGGAGTGTTACAAGCTCTTGGTGCATAAAGAAGATCTGTAAAGTTGCAAAGACTAAAGTCTCAAATCCAAAGAGATATTCTTTATAAAAGTTAAGCGTCAACCACGCCTACCTAAAACGGCTTGTTCTAACACGCCCCCACATGTCTACATCACAATGTGGGAAGATTTGCATAACACCGCCCAAATGTGCACGCAAAGAAAGAAAGCGTGGTTTCAGGAACAGCAGTAGTGTTAATGCAGCCATGTCAGGGAGACGCTGTGTATTTCAGTGCGAAAGCAAAAGCA